ATGAGGCGTGAATTCTGGCGTCGTGCTAAACCCATGCCCCGCTGACACGTCCCGACATACATATGTGATAACGACCGTGGAACAACTTTTGCCGAACCGTTCCGATTATACAGGAATACCGTTGAAGACTCAGGCTGCGTTAATACTTTCCGGCAGCGTCCACCAGCGACTACTAGCGTTCCGAAGGTCCGGCAGCGTCTATCAGCGTCTGAAAGCGTCTGCCAGCGTTCACCAGCGACCGAGAGTAGAGAGTATGGAGAAGTAAGAGGGTAGCAAATACCTGGATTAGCGTCGCACAACTGCCAAAGAAATTGCCGCGTGTGCAACCGCACCGTACAACTGCACTACACAAGACTGCATAATTCCGTGCGTTAGCAGTCGTGCGTTACAGCTGCACACGTCGCAATTTCACGGCGCCCAATCAAGTTGTTTGCTAGTTTCCCGTACTCTCTACTCCCCGTCGCTGGTGAACGCTGGTGGACGCTGGTAGACGCTGCCGCTAAGTATGAACGCAGCATTATGAAATTATGCGAGTGCCAGTATGTATCTCTGTATCACCTCCTCCTGCATAGTTTACGAGTCTCCAGTTCGATAGATAGCAAAATGCCTCTCCCCCCTCCCTAAGCCGAACAGCACTCTAGATGCTAATGAACATATAAGAATCGGTATCATTCATTACCTCGTATTGCTCCTTGAAGGTCTTCATATCAGCGAAAAACTGCTCCAATGGATACTTTTTCTCGTCGAAAGCATAAAATTTTGTAAAACTCTCCCAATCCGATTTCATTTTGCGGTGCATCTTAAATATCCACAACAGCTTGAATGATTCGGGTAAATTCAAAGCCTTTGAGGCTACCAACCGTCTCTATTGTATCCAATTCGCTTTGAGCTTTTGGCAAGGAAAGGAGTCATCACATCTATAAACTCATCTTCATCGCTTTGCTTTTTGTACGTTCGTAAGCAGTTTTCCAGCTGAAAATCGACAGTAAGCTTGTGTGCCTCAAGTTCCTTGACCTCCGTGAACCCTGGTCCTTGCAACGGAGGTGAGTGGGTCGGCAGCTGCAAAAGCGTGTCACTTTCTCCGGGTTTGATGTGCACGGGAACGGGGCTAGAGGTAGTAACAGTCGGCTGCTTTCTCGGTATTCCGCCCCACAGTTGCACTGCCACCCACACGCCTAAGCATTGCCGGACGCCCTACTGCGGTCTCTCCCTTTGGTTATTCTCTACTGCTGAGTACGTTCGCTGCGGGCCTTGGTTCGACGCAAGGTGCTGCATCTTGCTATAGCGCAGGCAGAGCATGCAGACGGCACTCGGCTCCCATTCCCCTAAGGCCCAGTTGCCGAGCACTTTTAAGCGGGGAAAGTGACACTCACCGCAGCTGCAGACCCATTCGTCTGGCTCATGGTTAGGACCAACTTCGGAGGAGGTTGCACAGTTTGTCTTTAGGTACACAGGAGCCTACCTTGGCTACATTTTGTCGAAGAGTTGTCACTCCTTTTGCTAGCTCGTCGGAGTTCACTCGGGCGGCAGCAACACAGTGATAGAAATCTTCATGCGCGAATCTACAAAAAGCATTTTACTCTCCACATGTTCAAGTTCTGGGGCAGTTCGACGACGGGAGGGGGGGGGCATTTTGCACTTTCGCTGCTCCACTAGTTCTGGTTTCACATATCTCACTCTGGTGAAACCTGTGAACTTTGTGAAGCTGGAGCAAGCTCGTCGAGCCACCATGGTAGAACCTGTCAACTCTTGTAAGCTCATGAAATAGCTCTTAGATGGCTCGACACGTCGACGGGAAGCAGCAAAGTGCAAAATGTCCCCCCTGTCGCCGAACTGCGCCCGAGTTCTTGGTAGGTTTACAAGCAGATTGCTTGGAATAAACTGCACTATGAACTGACCTTGCATTCTTTGAATCGAACTTGCGCATAGAGTCGACCATGTAATGTAGCAACGTTTTCTTATTATCGACGTCTTTCGTATCCATGAGCTAAAAAATATAGAATGCTGGTGGGCTGAACCCGTCATTGACGAGAATGCTGGTGGGCTGAACCCGTCATTGACGAAGTGACCAGTTACCTTCGTGAGCACGTTCATTTCAAAGGCGAATGTGTCCTTGTAGGTCTTCGACGACTGGTCCATGTAATTCCCAAACAGGAGCACTAACTCAAGGAAGATTTTGAAGCCCTTGGACCGCCGAATCTCCTCGCAAGCTTCAATCACAGAGGATATGCCCTAAAAAGACACATTAGACGCCCTTCAACACTTCCGATAAAGCACTGACTGCCGGGCACGTCCTGCAGTTGAGGAAATTTTTGCAAAATATCAACTTACGACCCTCCCCTCTTCCCCGTCGAACTAAAACCATTTCACCCGATAAAGTATCATGGATAGTCGCCTTTATTTATAAAACATACTGTAGTAAGTCGCCTTCCCTACAGTCACACCTCCCTGCGGTCTCTGTGCAACCCCTGGCTCACAAATCCCTTTATCACATCTCCCAGTAGTGGATATCATCCAATGCAAAGAAAAGAATACGAAAAACAACAAAAACACGGAAGAAAAACTCTTGAAAAGGAAAAAAAACTTTCAAAAACTCGCGTGCTAAAAGGCAGCGCCCGCGTTCAATTTCGATGAGTTATGGGGCTCAGACAGTGACAGTAAGGTAGCAAGTAGATTTCATTAGTGAAGTAAAATGCAAAAAAAAAAAAATTTTTTTCATCCGATTATGCCCTATTATAGGGACCCCACGCTGAGTGAGGCTTAGTATAGTTGGTGAGGCGAGAAGAAGGCGCGGTCGCCACGAGTTCTCACTGGTTGACATCAAGTTGTTTCGCTTTATCACCCTACTCTCACCATTCGAAGTGGCGACGAGTAATGCAGAACAACCGCACCATCAGGCAACCACTAGAAATGAATGGGCGTAGTGGTCGCCAGGTGGGCGGGGTGGCCGACTCTTCACGAGCGGGCGCCGCTATTCTCTCGCATTTTTGAGTTGCGAAACTAGTACGGTCCATCATCCTCATTAGGTGAGCTCACGATATCAAAGACGGCGTGGAACAACAATTGAAACGCAGGCGCAGCCTTTGAATTAGGGACGGGTAGTCGTGCATCTTTTAGTGTAGTGTAGTGCGTCGAGCTTCTGCACCACGAAAATTGGGTCGCTCGTGATTTTTACGCCTTTTACCTTGCGAGATGGGTTGGAGTTGACTGTATGTGCTCCTAATAAATAAAATGTAATGAAGGAGAGCAGAATTATTTATGGGCACGAGCGCGGTCAGCAAAAAGGACATGCAATTTCGATTAATGCCCGCCGCCCCAACAAAGAACAGCTGAGCGGCCGTTCGTCGGAGGGCATCTAGCAAGTTGGGCGCGTCCAAACTGACGGGGCCGTTAAGAAATAAACTTTCAGCGGCGGTAGCTACTCTCCTCGCCCGCTGTGCGTTGTGGAGTCGCGAGAGTGGGATAGTCTTCTAGCTTGGGGCTGTACTACTTGCACAAGGAAGGACGACCATGTACTACTCGAGCGCGGGGCTGTCTTTAAACTCCAGTTCTCGCCGCGTTCTTGCCTGCCTTTACGCGAGTTTTTTATTTCTTTTTTCGAAATTTCTCCTTTTCGTACTTAAGAACTACAGTCAGACGGTAGGGAAGGCAACATGCGCGCCACTCAGAAATAGGAAAAAAGCCCGAGCAACAACCGGAAAACATTCCGCTCAAGTGGCAAATTAACACCCGGCCCCTAAGTGATAAGGATCCTAATATACGACGCGCCTTGCTGAGCGCGTATTAGAACGCAAGCGCCCTACTGTCAACTACACCTTCCCGGGTCTGTGCGGCGAACGGGGAGGAGAGGGTGGCACTTGGTGCACTTTTTACTATTTCCCATCGAAGTGCCAACCCATTCTAGAAAGCGTAGGTTTCCCCACAGCGAGATTTTAAAATCGCCAGCGAACATGGCTACCCCCCCCCCCTCCCTCCACGTCGCCGAACTGTCCCCACTTTCTATTAACGATGAAAAACTCGTTGAAAATGCAAACATTGTGGTTGTATGAACCAGCACTGTGGAGGAATGAGGACTGCCTCGTTATCACTTACATTTTGAACCGGCGATGATTATCATTGTTTTAATTATGTGCACAATGAACCAGCAAGCCGGCGTACAGTCACCATTACACTAGTTGTACGACGGGAGCAAGTGAGAAGCAGCGGATTGCTCTGGGTTTTCAGGGGATTGCCTCTGCTTCGTGGCTAGTACAAGTTCCGCGAAACAGCACAATCTCGCACAAAGCTGCTGTTCAGAACTCCAGCTTACTCTAATGGCAAGTCTCGCCTCGGTAGTCCCGCGTCATTTTTTGTCAAACCATCGCTAAAAAGGGACTATTTAGTAGACTTTTAAGAAGATTTCAAGTTTTGTTTCGTCACCTATGCAAGACACTACACAAGAACATGTTCCCGTCTCCACCAATTCGTAATAAATGTTTTGCCCGTCTCCATCAGTCCGCAAGAAATGTAAAAATTTCTGACATGTGTTGCTCACTCACTGGCTTGATATCATTCATGATTTCCTGGAAGCGTTGTTTGAAAATTATAAGGTCGAGCCGCAGAGGTAACGCAGTGATTGACGCTAATGAAGCCAGAAACTGAAAAGTGAAATTTCTAGAAACCGGAAATAATGAATTCTCAAAACAGACAACTTTTCATAGAGCTGAAGTTCGTTTACTGTTGGCAAAGCAACCACATAACTTTCTCTACCACGCTTTTACCAAGAAGTATGTACCTGCTCTCCTTCGGGCATTTCGCTCACAACTGACGAGTCTACTTCTGACAATTTTTTAATCACATCCATGGGTGGAAGCGCAGTTCGAAGCTGTTGAAGAGTATTAGCGGAGAGCACGTTCTCATCTACCTGAAACAGAACTTGCAGCTGAGAAATGAGTACAGTTTTCAGTACTTCGTTCTAGCACATCACCAATGTGTTTTGAAGGCATGTGGGTGCACACCGAGGGGGTGGGACGGGGATGGGGGCAAATCATCAAATTTCGTGGGAGCCAAGTACACCCCTGCTGTGTTTCAGACAAAGATGATGGGTTATGAGAGGTCGGTTTCAATCAACCTAAAAGGCTGCGTTCATACTTTGCGGCAGCGTCCACCAGCGACCATAGCGTCCACCAGCGTTCCAAGCGTCCGGCAGCGTCAGCGACTAGGAAAGTATAGATATCGATCTAGCGTCTGCCAGCGTCTGCCAGCGTGCACCAGCGTCTACCAGCGTCCGGGAGAGGAGAGTATGGCGGTAGCAGATAGCTGGTACCCTCCTATTGCGCCACACTTCCACAGTTGCCTGCTACCCTCCCATCGCGCCATACTCTCTTCTCCCAGACGCTGGTAGGCACCAGATCGATATCTACACTTTCTTAGTCGCTGACCAGGGCACATCGTTGGTTGGGGAATCCCCAACAGGGGGGTCGTATTTGGCCGCCAGGAGAGGGGGGGTCGTAATGAGTGCGGTAGCCAGTAACGAGCAGCGCAAAGGTGTCAGTGTGCTGAGTCC